ATTTACTTTGCCTTTCCTGTATTTTTATCTTTAACTCTGAGGACATTTGAAAAGCTTGGGGAAGTGTGAGTGTTGGATGCAGCAAATGAAAAGGGAGATTATTTGGCTTCCTTGCCCTCCTCAGTAAAGTATCGTTCCAGTATTAATCTAAACCAGGGATGTCAAACTCAAGGCCCGGGGGCCGGATCCGACTTGCAGGGTGCTTAGATCTGGCCTGCAGGGCCATCCTGGAAACAGTGAAAGACTGGTTTGTGGTGCCTCTGCCAGTGAAAACAGAGCACTCTACATGGGGCTACTCTTGAAAAGTGTTGGGAGACTATAGTTGGTCCAGAATGCAGCCACGCGAGCTGTCGTGGGTGCACCTAGGTACACCCACATTACACCAATTCTCCGCGAGCTGCACTGGCTCCCTATTGGTCTCCGGTCACAATTCAAGGTGTTGGCTATTACCTTTAAAGCCCTACATGGCTCAGGGCCAGGGTATCTTCGAGACCGCCTTCTGCCGCATAGCTGCCAGCGACCGGTAAGATCCCACAGAGTTGGTCTCCTCCGGGTCCCATCAGCTAAACAATGTCGGCTGGCGGGCCCACGGGGGAGGGCCTTCTCTGTGGCTGCCCCAGCTCTCTGGAACCAGTTACCTTCTGAGATCCGGACCATCCCCACCCTATTGGCCTTCCGAAAAGCGGTGAAGACCTGGCTTTTCCGGCAGGCCTGGGGCCGCTGATCTCGCTCTTGTGATCTGGCGAGATCCGGCCATGAATGGTGTGAATGAATTTTTAATGTTTTTATTGTTTTTAATTTTTCAATGTCTTTTTATAATGATTTTTTTAAATGTATTGTGAGCCACCCTGAGTATTCAGAGAGGGGCAGCATATAAATTTAATTAATTAAATTAAATTAAATTAAGCTTGGAAGGGCCACACACAGGTCCTCCCGAGCTCTGTTTTCACTGGCAGAGGTTTGCAGGAGGCCGTCACAGTTGAAAACGGAGCTCAGGAGCCAGTTTTCGCTGGCAGAGTGCTCGGGCCACCACAGGTGCCCCTGACACCTTGGACATGCCCACTCCGGTTCCCCGAGGTCAAACACAACCCTGATGTGGCTCTCAATAAAATTGACCTTGACAGCCCTGGTCAAAACTGTTCCCAAATGTTTACTTTGTGCTGCCATCTTGATTGGCATCTTAGCCTATTCAGACCACATCATTCTGTATGTATATGATACCAAGACTAAATGGATCTCAGCTAATGAACATTCAAAATGTTACCTGATTATACGGTTAACTTGCAAACCATTTAAATAAGTAACTTTATCTGACCAAGACAAACTTTTGTGAATCAGCTATTTGGTAAGGGAGATCATATTGCAAATTATTTGGGTGAATTATCTCCTAGAATCATAGGTTCCATATGACATGTTTCTTATTTTTTTAAAAAAAACTCTTGTCCATATTATTTAACCAAGAGAAAATTCTGCCTTCAGTAAATATTTTGAAAATGTCATCTCTTTGGCAACTATTTTATCAACCCTCTTTAGTTCAATAATTATTCATTAACTATACAGTGGATAGGCTAAAAAAGCCTTTATGCCTTTTGGTAAGCCATCATTATGCTTCTAATGGTTCTACATTCTCTTTTTTTGCCACATCCTAATGTTTTTCTCCTCTATGTCTTTGGCAGCTAAAACCAATTGTTTTCATTGTGTTGTTTTACTCTGGACTCCCAGTTACAGTGAATGGACAGGATACTGCTGGATTGTGGGAAAAAATATATTGGAAAAATCTGGCAAAAAAATCATGAAGACATCATATGCAATCTAACATGTTAGGTGCAATTCTGAGTAGAATTCTTAATCTGGAAAGCTTCCATGTTCAAATTCTAGCCAAATCTCCTTCCAGTATACTGGGTAATGAGAACAGCAGTACGATGTAAAAAAAGTACTAATACAGACTATCCCCTTAGGACTACAAAATCTTCAGATCATTTTTTTATTGAACAAGAAATTTGCAAGTATGAAATTTCTGCCACATGTAGCAATACAATTTAAAATTCTGAGTGGGGTATAGAAAGAAAGGGCCATTGTATTATTTTATGGTATTTCCGTAATCAGAGAGTCCTCCAGCTATAAAGACTTCAACTTCTGGGATTCTCAACAACAGCCATGCTAGCTGTAGAATTCTGGAAACTGAAGTTCTCACATCTGGAAAGCATCAGTTTAGGGAAGGCTGTGCTACCTTCCCTTCTTTTGTGTAAGCAATTCAATTATTTGAGCTTCTACTAAAGTATATCTGTCGGGGAAGGAAAGTATTGTTTGTTCACATCTGCAAGTTCAGTCATAGCTATGCAAATTCCTCAAAAGCTCAAGCACTAGCATATAAATGTGGTTTTGCCTTGAGTGAGGAACCTGTTCCCCTCAAAATTTTGCTGAATTATGATCAGCCATGATAGCCAGGGGTTAAGAAATTTTGAAATTACAAGTCAGTAACATTTGGAGGACTATAACTTCTCTATTTGTCAGGCCCCAAGAGCCTGCCACATAGGGTTATTTCCATTTTCTTTTACTGTTCCTCACCTATAGACAGAAATATTGCCAAATTAAAGCAACTACTTGTACCAATGGAAAGATACTCTGAGAACTACTATGGAGGAGCCATCTTAACTTTCTTTGTCCTAACTAAACTATCTTAACTTCATTGTCTCTTGGTCCTTTTGAGTGCAGCCCCTTCCTCCCGGGAATCCAGACTACATTCCACCACAGTATCCCTGTGATGCACCTATGGCCCCATTTAATTCTCTGGCTTTACATCATATCTGCAATAGGTTTTTTTCCTAGCACATAGCAGTCTTTCTCAACTTGATGCTCTTCAAATATGGTAGACCTAGAATCTTAGCTAGCATCTGGAAGACATCAAATCAGAGAAAATCAGTGTGGAAGAACTGCAAACTAGCATTAGTACCTGCATTTTTTCCATTACTTACAAAATAGCCAGTAGGAAGAGAAGTCATAGTCATTATGGCCCCTTTCCCAGAGTTAATGAAGCTTAATTCAGACCCCAGAAAGCCTTTTTATTGATCCATTAGTTCTTTTTAGATAGTCTGCTTTCTGCTGATCAGACATTAATTCACCACTTTATGCCTCTATGCTGAGCTTGGCAGCTTAGCTCATTTGGGATTCAAGTCTTCCTTCCTTAAGCAAATCCAGCGGTTGGATTTGAGCCCACTGCATAGATTTGAAAATGCCTTTATAATGAGGAGGTAAACTTTCCATTTTCATTTTATTGGAGATATATCTTGTTAGTCCTTGTTTTCATCATATACCTGCTAAAATCTCCCAGAGTTTCAGACAACAGTTTTATTCCAACACTGTATGCATCTTTATACCATAACTTTTGTCTGTCTTACTTCCTTTAAAGTTGAAAATCTGAATCCTTGTCCTTTATTATTTTTCTACCTTCCATAGTTTTCCTCAGCATTCACATTCTTCAGTAGAGTTCACACAATATACTTAATTTGGCAATATAATTACTCCATTACCTGGGTTTGCACAATAAGTTGAACTACAAAGAAATGTACTGGACTTGCATAACACACTATGCCACAGACAACTGACCAAGATTAAAGTTAACCAAGTTTAGTATCTTGTATAAATGAAGGTGCTGGGTCTTTTAAGTGTTCTGGTTAAGCATATGTCAGTCTCTTGGGCTTTCAGTACCATGGACAGAAGCCTGGAAGCTTGACCAATCTATCAGTTCCTGTACCTGACTCCCTGTAACAAGAGTTTGGCCTTTTAACTTTTTTAAAATCAGGTTTTTAATCTGGTTAATCTAATGGTGATGAGGTTTTACTCTTTATGTATGCCAAACTTTTAATTGAATAAGTGAATACAATTTATTTACTATTCAAGCTAAAAACTGTTTCTGGCAACCTATTTGCAAAAAGATTTGGATATATATAAGGGGCGTGCATAAGTGCACCAGAGTGCCTACCGTCCCTGTCCTAATATTCCTTTTTACTTACTCTTTTCATGTATTCAAATTATGTTTATACTTTTACCTGTTATCTTATATATGCTTGACAAAATAAAAATAAATAAATAAATAAATAAAATATTCATTTGTCACCAAACTAATCCCAGATGAAATTACACCAACATCAAAAAAATACTTTGATGGGGTCACATACAAACCATTCATATGCTGCACAAAAAAACCCACACACACCCCTAAAACACACGTCTCTGTGACTCCTAGAACTGTCACAAACCTTACACAAACTAAACCAAACAAGTCTATTCCACCAGACCAAGGACATCTGGAGCTGTCACTCATTTGATTTAACAGGACAGGAATTTTATAGGCTCAGAAAAGTTTGACTCCCTTCCAGATGTTTTGAACCTCAGTTCCCCAAGTCCCTTGGCCATCGATCATGTTGGATGGCTTGATGGTAAATGAAGTGCAACTTATCTAAGGGAGAATGAAATTGCCTACCGGTGGCCTACAGAATCTCATTCATAGTTTATGTTTATTTTAAGGGGCCTTCTCAAACCTTCAACATACGGTGAAGAGACACTGTACAAGAGTTTATGATATCTATTCTATTAAACAAGCCTCCTACTTTGAAAATACAACCTACGGGCCTTCCCTTCTGCCCCCAACACAGCCAAATAGTTATCCATTGAAGGTCTTCCACCTTAAAAAACAAAAACAAAAAACATTACATCCCGTTATGTTGGCTGTTCAGATCAATTCTTGCCCCACCACCCCACTTAGTTCTCCCTTCTAAGCAGGGAAGTCCTCCCACTCATTCTCTTTAGCCTCCGCTTTCTCCTTTCCTATTTCAGTTCCTGTCGTTATTGGGTGGAGATGGGGGGTGGGGGAGGGGATACAAGGTTTGGTGGACAAATCTTTTTCTTTTCTTTTTTTTTGCCAAGTTGGGGGTGGGGGTGGGTGTTTGAGGGAAGGAAACGGTCCCCCCCCCCCCCCCCACCACCCCCGTTTACCTTACCTGCCAGTAGCTGCATCCAAGCACAGATCTTGTAGACCGTGGCCGTGTTGCAGAAGAAGAAGAGGGCGAAGCAAGTGATGCAGCCCAAGATCAGCACCATGGAGAGCAGCACGAAGAAGGAGGCGGCCTTGAAGGCGCCGGAGGGGATGCTGCGGAAGTCGGCGAAGGAGCCGTGGCAGGTGAGTTCCCGGTTGTTGCCTTCGTTGCCCACACAGTAGTGGAAGAGGCCGAAATAACCCGGCTTGGGCGTGCTGACGCTGTCGCCGATCCAGTAAGGCTGGATGAAGACCACCACGTTGATGATGGCGAAGCAGATGGTGAAGATGGCCCAGAGGACGCCGATGGCCCGCGAGTTCCGCATGTAGTTGTCATGGTACAGCTTGGAGGCCTCCTGAGAAGGCAGCATCGTGCCGGGAAGCGCCGGGGTCCCCGGCGGCGCTGAAAAGGGAGAAGGCGGGCGCACACCGGCGGCCGTCCCCGCTGCGAAGGGAGGCTTAGTCGCGGGAGCCCCGCGGCACCGGCCGAGGGACAACCCAAGGGGGGCCTGCGAGGGGCCAGGCCATGGGGGCCCCGGCCGGTCAAGGCGGCGGGCCGGGAGCCCTTTTTTTTTTTTCTGTTTTTTTTTTTTTTTTTTTTTTAGAGGCGCTGCCTCGCTCCCTGCAGCTTCAGCCGCGACTCCATCTTGGCTGCTGCCGCTCCAGCTGGCCTCGGCTCCCGCTGGCTTGGCTGGATCGATCTCTGGATCGCTCGGTCTCTCCCGTCCGCTCGCTCGCTCGCTTGCCTCTTCGCTCGCCTGGCCGAGGCTCGCGCTCGCGGCGGAGGCTCGCGACCGCGTGCGAGAGAGAGGGAGACACACACACACACACACAGAGAGAGAGAGACAGAGAGAGCGAGAGCGCGCGCGCCGGGGCCCGGGAGGAGGAAGTCTTGGAGCGGTTCGGAAAACGAAGGTGGGGAAGGAAGGGAGCGAGCGAGCGAGCGCTGGGGCAGCTTCCCAAAGGGAGGGGTGTGGGAGGGGGGAAGGAGGAGGAGGAGGAGAGGCAGCGCCACGCACATGCGCCCTGCACGGCAGGTCGAGGGAGCCGGAGGCCCCCGGCCGGCTTCTGTTTCTCTCCCCTCCTCACACAACCCACCCCAATCCCCCTGTGGCGGCTTGAGGGGCTTCCCGCTTTGCCGCCCTTGAGCGGCGAGCCTTATTATCTGGCTTGTGGAAATACTGAGGGCCGCTAGAGGCCAGCAAACGATCCTGGTTTTTCTCTTCGCGGTCCTCTGAACGTTTGAGTGGCTCGAGGGAATTGTTTGGATCTTTTGCAGCCCAGGCAGAGAGATTCCCCACGCGGCGGATTCCTCCCCCCCCTCCCCCCCACTCCTAAAAAAAGCCGCGGCGGAGAGAGGCGCAGAAGGAAGGCGGAAGACAAGGAGGGAGGGACGATGGGGAGACACCCCCCCCCACCTCATCTCATCTCCGCAGCTGTTCCGAGCCAGCTTTTCATCCAGCAATAGGCTCTGGAAGAGGAATTTCCTCGGGGCGGTGAGGTGGGGGGATGACCCGGCGGCTTCTCAGGCCGCCCTGAGTCTCCAGAGAAAGGCGGCATATAAATTGAACTATTATTATTATTATTATTATTATTATTATTATTATTATTATTATTATTATTATTATTATTATTATTATCATCAATAATAATAATAATAATAATAATAATAATAATAATAATAATAATAATAATAATATAACGCCATGACCGTGTTGCTAAGATCATTCACCGGAAATTGTGCCAGAAGTTTGGATTTGAGTACAGCAAAAACCGCTGGGAACATCAGGTTGAGAAAGTTTTAGAGAATGAAAAACTCAAGATCTTGTGGGACTTTAGGATTCGGACTGACAGGCACTTAGTCCACAACACACCTGACATAACAATAGTTGAAAAGAAAAAAGTATGGTTCATTGACATTGCAATACCTGGTGATGCAAGGATTGAAGATAAGCAGCAAGAAAAAAATCACAAAGTACCGGGACTTGCAAATTGAAGTTGAGCGACTGTGGAAAAAGAAATCGTGTGTTGTCCCGATTGTAATTGGAGCCCTTGGAGCAATACCCAAAGGGCTACCCCGCTATTTAGAAATTCTAAATTTGCCGGACTTGAACATTTTGACTCTACAAAAAGCCACCTTACTCGGAACAGCTTACATCCTCCCACGATACCTTAACAATTCCTAGGTCCTTGGTTAGGACTCGAGCTGCTGAGCCTCAAAGGCTGTGAATCTCACTAAAGATTAAATCATGATCATCATCATCATCATCATCATCCTGCTGGTGATTCTTTTCATCTCCTCCCTCTTCTTCCAGCTTTGGAAGGAAGGAAGGAGATCCTTCACCCGTTTGGGTCTCCATTCTCCAACCCTGACCCTGATGGAAGTGGTGTCTCTTGGGCTACAACCCAATGCCAGCCGAATGGGAACTGCAGTTCCTGCATCAGATGGGGATTACAGGTAGTCCTCGCCTTACGACAGTTCCTTTAGTGACCGTTTGAAGTCCCGACGGCACTGAAAAAAGGGACTTGTGTGACCATTTTTTACACTTGCAGCATTCCCTCATGGTCACGTGAATAAAATTTGGATGCTTGGCAACGGACTCATATTTATGATAGTCGCAGTGTTTTGGGGTCATGTGATCCCCTTTTGGGACCTTCTGACACGCAAAGTCAATGGGGAAACCAAGATTCACTTAACAACCGTGTTAATAATTTAATAACTGCAGTGATCCGCTTAACAAAAGTGGCATGAAAATGGGGGCAAAACTCGCTTTAAAAAAATTCTCGCTTAACAACATAAATTTTGGGCTCTATTTGTGGCCTTACGTTGAGGACTAGCTGTGCTTTAAGGAATCATCTCAATGTGACAGAAACAAGTTTCAACACCAGAAGTTGAACTCAGTCCTGGGAGTCTCTACAGTCTCTAATCAGAAGTCAATTTCTGCTTTCTTAAATAATTTTAAAGATCGGATTTCAAAGGTAAATATCTTTCCCTGATCAGCCCACGAAAAAGGCCAGAATGGTGAGCTAAATTCAAGAGCACCATCAGCGATGAAGCAGGGGAAAAAAAGTCAGATCTGTAGGGATTGAAACTGGATGATGAAGGCCATAGATTGCTGAAGCTGGAGTATATCTGGTCTGTCAGGAATCAGATTCCCTCTGGAGCATGGAGGAGCATCTTCTGGCTCTCTAAATATTGCTGAATTCTCAGCTTCCAGCAATCTCAGTTGGCATGGCCAATGGTGAGGGGCAATGGTTACTGCAGTCCAAGAACATCAGGAGGGACACACATTTCTCATCTACATTGAGGAGAGACAAAGATAAGATCATGGATATAACACAGAGGTGGGTTTCAGCAGGTTCTGACCAATTCTGGAGAACCGGTAGAAGAAATTTTGAGTAGTTTGGAGAACTGGTAGTAAAAATTCTGACTGGCCCCGTCCCTATCCTCTGCCTCCCAAGTCCCAGCTGATTGGGAGGAAATGGGGATTTTGCAGTAACCTTCCCCTGGAATGGAGAGGGAATGGAGATTTTACAATATCCTTCCCCTGCCATGCCCACCAAGCCACGCCCACCAAGCCTTGCCACACCCACCAAGCCACGCCCACAGAACCGGTAGTAAAAAAATTTGAAACCCACCACTGATAACAGGATGTCTGCACCCAAGAAGTGCATTCAACTTGATTGGTATTAAACATTTTAATAGGCCCTGGATAATTATCATGTCACACTTCTGCATCTTAGCTAATAAACTTCTCAGTTTTTCAGATCCCTTTGTTAGATTTTTTTTTTTTAATTGAAGATTAAAGAATCGAGGAAAATAAAGTCTAAACAGCAAACCAGCAATGAATCTACAGTTTAAAAGTAGTGTCAAGATCTTGACTGTATACTGAATGCGGTTATCAGTGGCAGTGTGATTAACCATTGATTAAAAAATAGAAACAAAGATAACTTCAAACGGTCACCATATAAATGATCAGAAATGTGATTTGTGGATTTCTGAATGCCACCCCTCTCAAATATACATACATACTTTTTATATATGCTAACTCAACACTGGTTAGAATTGTAGAGTTGAAAGGGACCTAAGAGATCGATTTCAACCCCCTGCTCACTGCAGGATTCACACTACATCAACCTCAGTTTGAAAATCTCCGGTGAAGGGGAAGAAACTACTCCACGTGATAACTAGTCACTGATTGACAGCTGTTATTGTCAAGACATTCTTCCTGATCCAGGGTTCTTTGTGCCTCTCCAGCTGGACGACAGAGAATATTATGCTGAATTTTTTAAAATAGTTAATAGCATTGTTTTCCCAGTCAGTGAAAGCTAAGCATGTCATGTTTATTCAATTAATGAAAAAAGTAATGAATTGTAAATTGGGAGCAGCAAGCAGTATTCATTAAGGGGAAAGCTTTACAGGTAGTCCTCAACTTAAAACAATTCATTTAGTGACATTCAAAGATACAACGGCACTGGAAAAAGTGACTTATAACCATTTTTCACACAACCTTTGTAACATCCCTATGATCATGTGATCAAAATTCAGACGCTTAGCAACTGGTTCAACTTATGACCGTTGCTGTGTCCCAAGGTCACGTGATCCTTCTTTGCAACTTTTTGGCAAGCAAAATCAATGGGGAAAGCCAGATTCGGTTAACAACCGAGTTACTAACTTATCAACTGCACTGATTCTCTTAACAACCGTGGTAAAAAAGTGGGCAAAACTCATTTAACAATATAAATGTTGGGCTCAATTGTGGTTTACCTGTACTCATTTTCTCTCACAGAACAGGAAATGCCTTTTATATCCCTGATGCTATCGGGTCTCTATAGGACACACACACCTCATCTAAAACCAAAGAAAAAATTTCCCCTTGCTTCAGAATTGCTAAATGGATGTGATCAATCCTTCTTCCAGTATAGTCCAGTGGTGGATTCCTCCCGGTTCGGCCCGGTTCGGCCGAGCCAGTAGCGGTGACGATATGACGTCACCGAACTAGTTCTCTTTGTTCGGGAGCTGGGCACTCCCGCCCCCTGCCCCTCCCCATGTTATTCTTACCTTTTATTTGGCCCCACCCCCAATCTATTCGCTGCCTCTCGAGTCCCAGCTGATCAGCTAGAAGGAAAAAAACTGTTTAAACTCTTGCAGCAGGGCTTCAAAGGGCCACCCTACAGCTGATCAGTGTTAAAAGGCAGTGTGGTGGTAGACCAGTGCCTCCAAAAACAAATGGGTAGACCAGTACAGCTCTGCAAGTAGTTAAAAGCCTGGTAGACCAGTACCTCTGCTAAATCCTAAAGAATTGTCACGTGACCATCAAGCCACGCCCACAAAATAAGCCACGCCCACAGAGCCGGTACTAAAAAATTTTAGAACCCATCCCTGGTATAGTCCTTTAATCCATGAATTTTAATCCATGATTAAAACCTGGCCTACCTCTGCCATCTCAAATTGAAAGATTTCTTGTGTCAAGTCAAGGAAAGTTCTAGCTTGATGCATTGGAAATCTGCCACTCAGAGTAGACAACATTTGGCTCAGTAGAAAAGTTGGTTTGAACATGCACAAGCCACAGTTGATGGGTTCGCACGATAAGTATACTATAAGCCATGGTTTACAAAGCACAGTGGCTGAGTTCAGACAACAAAAGCAGGCAAACTGATCATAGTTGGGTGTCCATATGTCCACATAGAGAAGCTTCTCGTGTTCATAAATTTGCAAAATGTTAGTCAAGGCAGCCAAGCATCCCACAAAGTTTCTTGTGAGAGGACAGAAAAATTAGGCTGAACTATGGATATAAAACTGGTTGAATATCTGTATTCAGTTAGTATACATCAATGATTCCACATTAAATTGAAGAGAGGGCTCACGTGACATGCTGCTGTACTTTGTTCTAGGCACTGACGTCACTCAATATCATATGTTA